ATACTAGGAGGACGATTCTCCTTCCCACACCAATTGCTATTGGCATACCGATGAGGTTCCCGATGCCCCTGATCCAGACTTAGCTCTGCCCTCATTGTGGAACTTATAACTCACATGAACAACGTCGGGTATGTCATCAAGTTGGTAATGTCATCATAGTCCTTTCCTGCGGCTGTATATCCTGGAATGTAGAATTGCAGTAGTCCTCCGAACCCACTGACCAAAGCCAGACCCAGACATGAGACTGCACACGATCAGGATGGCCAAAATCAGTTTTGGGAAGGTCCACCACTTACAAATAGAGATGACAATAAGTATAATGGACTTCTGCCAAACAGACATATTCAAGGGATCTGTCCATTGTTATTCTTGATATCATTTCCAATAGCAGAGCTGCTCACCTTGTGGGTCAGCGGTGGGAGTGGGAATATACACGACTGTTCCCTCCGTGATCTTCACAGTGCCCATTACTTTCCCTTTGGTGTTCACAAAGCCCCCCTCCTCGATGTCTTCCACGTAGACTACATCTTTCTTGGTGGTGTCGTCCATCGTAGAAGACCGGCAGATAGATGGTGGGTGCGTCCTGTTTACCCGCAAAGGGTGTGAGCGGTGGTAGTATGGGGCATGACCCAGCTGATCGTATAAATATATTCGTCATACTATCAGTAAATACCCGTGTGACTGACAGCAGACACAAGAAAGGCAGATTATCTCGACAGATCACCACCACAACCGTGCCGAACCTTGACTGTGACGAGTACAGCTTCGAAGCTACCAAAGCTTCCCCGCATTCCGATAGCCAAGTCGCCACCAATGGCCTCGGGGAAGAGCTGGCTCGGGGCCTCGCCGAGGTCTAGTGCTCCGAAAGCTAGTATGGAACTTACTTCGGCGGGGTCAGATCGACTACTCGGAGCAAAAGCTAATATCCATGTAGCGAGACAAGTCGGGCGCGTCTCAGTTGATTCAGCGACTGGCATCTCTACTCGTGTATCGAATAACTTAGGTAACTTGAATAGTGTAGAGGCTACAAAGCAGCAGTATGAAGAATAAAGCACGTAATATTGAACAACTATCTGACAGTCTGTATACAAATACGCAAAACTACCTAGTAAGCCTTGACACCTGCCAGCTTGAGAACCGTATCGGTCAATTCAGGCTTCTCATAAGGCTCCGTACGATCCTTAGGGCACACCTTTCCATTCCTCATCGGCTTGTCGGTAGACGGGCGGATATTGCTACAGGGATCAGCATGCATATCAATACAGGTAGCGAAGAATTACATACCAATGAGGCCAGTGGGTAGTCCCCATATAATTCTCAAAACAATATTTCTTCAGCTCTAAGGCCTTTTCGGTCGCAAAGCGCCTCGGCGTCATGCAGACATACTGGACGTGGCGGATCTGGTCCCCTTCGGGCAGACAAGCATAGTGCATGGTCCGAGAATCCCAAAGGACCAAGTCACCGGGGTCCATATTAACCTTGATGAGCTCGCAGCCGCGGTCTTCGAACCACTTGAGATCCCTTTGGTGGAAAAGGAACAGGTCCATGTACTTGATCTCCGGTGGCGGAGCATCCTCGTGGTCGTAGGGATCACGGTCCTGCGCAAAGAACTCATCGAAAAGTTTGGCAGAACCCTTCATGAGCATAAGGCCGCCGTCTTTGGGGCCGTTGGGGGCAAAATTGACAAGGCCCTGCACTGCTTGCATGCTGTAACAACATTAGTATCCTTCCGTCTAGTCTAAGCACTTCGGTGACTTACCCCTTCCGGTTGGGGTTCTGGTCACAGTGTGGCCAGGGACTCCAGTTGACATCCTTCCGGCGCGGGAGGGAGATGTTCATGCCGTCGAAAGAGCTAAGAAGCTCCTTGGTTTCCCAGAGCTTCTCAAAGATCTCAATGACGGCTGGCTCAGTACGAGCTTCCCAGGCTATCTTCTCATGGGGTGCTGCGTAGCCATAGTACATGCTGGTCTTATGTTAGTAGTCGTCAGCCCTTGGGAAGAAGGGAACTTACCCTCCCTTGAAGCTGATAGGAAGATGCTCAGTGGTCCAGGTACTCTCATCATTCTCGTCGAATCCAAGGTCAAAACTCTTCAGCCACTCGATCTGCTTGTCGCAGTAGTATTTGGCCCGTTCGGGACTAATCACGTTCTTGATGACGACGCAGCCATTTATGTGAAACTCATCGCGCCAATCGCCGTAGTGACGGTCGCTGAAGTCGATCAGGTCTTTCACAGTGTAGGACTCGTTGGTCGCTTCGGCGATCTCCTGAATGACAGTGGTTGTTGACATGGTGCTTTCTTCAATCAATACTCAACTCGATCAATGATTAGAATTGAACACTAGTCTTCTCATCGAGTCTTCGAGTGGGTGTTCAAAATTCACTTAAACATCCAGCAGCCTCAAGCTCCGAAGGCTAACATCGTGCCCCGAAGCTCGGGGCCTTCATCAGTCTGGAGCGATGCGGGGAGCCCCGAGAACCCCGCCCTTGGCTCCGGCGGAGATGCTGACTTCGGGGCAGCCCGAGCTTCGGTCACTAAAGCCCCGAGACATGTGCAATACAGACACGAGAAGGCGGGGAATATGATGCGGGATAGATAACTTAAATGTGAAGAGATTGCAGTATGATCTGATTTGCTAGATTCAGTGAAAGCTTCCAAAGCAGTATACTCACATCACGTGCTACATTAAAAATGCCTCCTCCGGTCCAAGTCGCTTACAAACGTATCAAAGCCCCAAAAGAGGGCGAAAACGGCTACGTGCGACCCCAACCACGCAAATCAGAGGTCCTCCCAGCGGGATGGAATGGGTTCAATGCCAAGCCCATACAGAGTGACATTCGCATCGACCACGACGTCGAGATCGTTGTCCGTGATGGCGCAAGACTCTACGTCGACATTTACCGGCCGGCAGACTCTACCGAGAAAATCCCCGCTGTATTGAGCTGGTCTTTCTACGGCAAAAAGTACAGTGCACTCGACATGCTCCCCATGTGCGTGTGGAATTGCTGCGTGCCGCGCTCTGACTTGAGCGGTCTCGAGAAATTCGAGGGCCTCGATCCGGCCACGTGGTGTCCGCGCGGGTATGCAATTGTCAGTGTTGACACGCGCGGAGCAGGAAATAGTGACGGTCTTATCACCGTTATGGGCTCCCAAGATGCGGAGGACGGATACGACGTCGTTGAAGCCATTGCGAAGATGGACTGGTGCAATGGGTGCATCGGCATGGCAGGGAACTCGGCCCTGGCGATCTCTCAGTGGTTCATTGCTTCTCAGCAGCCGCCGTCACTCAAGGCTATTGCACCATGGGAAGGATCGGGAGATATCTATCGTGAACAGTTTTGTCGCGGTGGGTGGTTCTCCATGAGCAACTTTGATCTTATCACAAACGAAATTGTTCGTGGACCGGCCAACTCCGGCATTGAGGATTTCGAGGAGATGTACCGCCGCTCGCCTGTTTCTAGCCCATTCTGGGAGGATAAGCGGGCAGATATGACCAAAGTGCTTTGTCCCGTCTATATCCGAGGCTCGGATGTGAGCTCTATTCACACCATGGGGTCCGTTCGAGCCTGGCTAGAGCTTCCACATGATAAGAAGTGGATTCGCTGGGGAAGCAAACAGGAGTGGTATGAGCTGTATAGCTGCCCGGAGTCCATGGATGAGCTCTTCGTTTTCTTTGATCGCTATCTCAAGGGAATTGAGAATGACTGGGAGAAAACTCCCAAAGTGCGTTGGTCTGCGCTGCAGTTCGGGGATCGAGAGGCGATCGATGACATCGTGCTCGAGGAGTTCCCATCGCCTACCACTGAATATCGAGAATTTTTCCTCTCTTCGGGGAAGCTCCACCCAACTTTGATTGGGGCTTACGAAAAGATCTCCTACGATTCGGAGCTTACATCCAGCTTTGCCGAGTTCTCATACACCTTCGACAAACCAGCAAGACTAATCGGTCTACCGAAGGCAGTCTTGTACATGTCTTGCGAAGATAGAGACGACTTCACTGTTTTCGTTATATTAAGAAAGAAGGATAAGAACGGGAAACCATTGATGCATCTCAATTTCCCATTCCATGCAACGCCGGTAAAATCAATCGACGAAATATCTGAGAAGGAACAGTCTAGCACGAACCTTCATCTGGGGTCTAATGGTATTCTTAGAGCTTCACACCGTGCGATCGATGCAGATAAAAGCATTCACCCACAGTTCCCTTTCCACCCTCACACTCGTCAGGAAAAGGTCCGTCCTGGAGAGATTGTGCGACTTGAAATTGGCATTTGGGCGATGGGTGTGGATTTTGACGCTGGTGAGACGATCAGCGTGCGGGTGAGTTACCATTAGTCTGCCAAATTACGGAAAGACGTATATAAGCTAACAGTGAGGAAGGTCTCTGGCCAATACCCTAGTATTGCGGAGTACAAGACATGGTCACAGCCCCGTCCAGAGGAGGAACTCAATCGTGGGAAGCATTTCATTCACTGTGGTGGAGAGTATCCTAGTTCTGTTATCTTGCCGTTCATTTAGCGGGCTTATGGATCACGATTGTGGCTATAGAGGTATGAGAATGTCACGAGCCATCTTTCCAAGCAGTTCTCGGTATTATCCCAGCCTAGCTGGCCTCATCTTCATGTAGAAAACCGGAGTTCTCGAATAGTCTTTCCAATATGTCCTCAATTGTATTTGAACAATTGCTCATAGTACTCTCAGCATGTGTCGTATAATCACCCCTATGGACAAAGTACTGCACAACACCGGATGCTAATACTTCCAATTCCCGGTCCTTCCAACTCTTTATATTCGCTCGCAACTAAGATATCAATATAAATGAAAGAAAGGTCCGATAGCCGGATACTTTCTGGTTTCAGTCAATGTCAGTATAGCGATTACTTCTCTATATCAATGAACCCTCACCTCTCATGCATGATGATTCCCCGTCGATTCACACTTCTGGATCTGAAGTACGGCACGTAGAAGGGCCCACACACCCCCACGGTCAAGTAGACCGATATGGCCAGCTTCGCGAGTGTTGCCATGCTTGCTAGCTATGCAGGATATATGGTAGTAGTAAGCTGTCTTCATCTCTCAAAGTGATCTTTATATATATCTGCTACATTTCCGGGATATATGAAGGAGTCCCATGCGGTAAGACAGTTAGTTATCCTGGTGCATCTACTATAAGACGAGCCGTAAGTTACCTCTGATGACAAAGCTGATTACCATAATGCGAGCCGTATAAGTGCCTAGTTGAACTATAATCTCTCTAATTGTAATTCGAGACCTCAAACGGAACCTTCCTTGACAGTTGACCGCTTGGATGCTACCAAATATCAATGCACTCTGCGCCGATTGGGCCCGAGGGTCTCCGCACGGCGACTCATCGACTGTCGAGGCCCTAGTCACGAGTACAACTACGAAGCCACCTGACGGCATCTGGAAACTGGTTGCAGCAGATGCGAAGAGGGAAGACTGCCGAAGGAGTTGCGAGGTATTCATTATCAGACCCTAATTTCAATAAAGTGGGACTCCGAGACGTTCCTCGTCGACACACCCTTCTCCATATCTCAAGCCAAAGACCTGGCCTCAAGTATCGAGGAAATCGCCATAGGTAAGCTTCTTCGATATGTCTACATCACCAACGGCCACGGTGCCACTCGTCTGGCATAACTTTATTACTGCGAAAGGACTAGCCTAGTATAAATGTACTGGCCACCCCCGGCACAGACGCGCTTATGATGGTACAACGCAAGCTGGGTTATGCGAAGCAATGTGGCTTTTCCTCGCACCGGGAAATCGGTTGCTAAACGAGCCAAGTATTGCTGATGCGATGGCGGCGGTTTCAAACAATCAGGGTACAAGAATATAGATACATGCTTTAGCATCAGGATGTTGAGTAGACCATGAGTTTCTGGAAAGTGTCTACGCCAGTGGTGGTGGTCACGTATTTTGTTCCAAGTCGTTGGATGCATGACAGAAAGTCATTTCGAACGGAAGATCGGAATCAACTCAGACCGCTAACTGTTAGGTTACTGATTACAAACCACGCATAGCAATCTATCACAGTCTCTGAACATTACTCTCAGAACAAGGCCGTGTCTATCATCACCCTCCCTGAGTAGAGCTGATAATTGTCAGGCAGTGGAGCCACCCTCCTCAGCTCTCTGACGGGGAAACGCCGACGGACTGATCAGTAATCATGACTTGCGTTCCCAGAAATACCTGAATGGCAGCGTGATTGAGGTAAAGTAATCAAGCCTCGGTTTCTGACAGGTAATATCACCTAGCTGCTCCTTTTCATACCCAAGAAAAATATAAAATAGCGATGGACTATGGACATAGATGACATGGGGCCATCGCAGATAATATCCAGAAAAGCCACTACCCAAGATGTCCCTCCAAAACACCTTTCAGCCCATCATATCAATGGACAATGACCTCCCAATGGCTCAACAGCGCCGCATAATCTACATCCGTCCATTCCTCCTCTTTTATCTCAACTCCCTCATCGCAGAAATCATCTTCCTTGCCGTCGGCGTCTTCATCATGACCAGCACCCGCGACCTCTTTTATAAAGTCATGTGGACACTCGTCTTCTGTCCGCTAGGTATGGGCGGTGCCATGGGGGGACTGATCAATTGCTTTATTGTCGATCACTATTATGGGAAGAAGGCGGCTCGATTTACGGGTATTTTGTCGTTGTTGGTTTTGAGCGCTTGCAACTATCTCTGCTACAATTTGGACCGGCATTTTGGATGGTTCGGGGCAAATGAGCATCCCATGTGGTTTCAATGGCGGTATCCGATGATTTGGGTTGTTGGTTACTGCAATGGGTTGCTTATGTTTACGGATAGGGGGCAGGAGAGACTTGCTAGGTTGGGGTTGTAGGGTATCAAGATATTTTAGCTGGGACGTTGATCATTGGTCATGATTAATGCCACAATTGCATTTCTCATATGGTCTCTCTTCAACAATCCTGGCGAGGGAGAGGCTCGTGGCTCGAACAATCGGCTATGTGAGTTGCTAAAGTACAGTGATATGCAGCATGACAATGGAAATGCCGACGCAAGCAATTCTTATATAACTTACGAGAGGATTCTACTGTAAGAGAGCCATGGTGTAATGCATCTGTCTAATTTACCGGAAAACGACTCACTGACTTTTGGGGTTTTCAACCCGGGGCCATGGCGAGGTTCTCCAGTCGAAAGCCTGGAGCTGGGGATGACCAGAAATTCTGATGCTCCGCGATGTAAGGTTTTTGGCTGAAGTATTCAGACACTCCGCGCTATGGTGACAGGTGGAGAGAATGAATGTGCCAGGAGGCCAACTTTCATGAAATACGCATAATCAATTCCGGCCGGAATTTGAATCCCGACAATGCGGGGCTCCGGATTATTTTATAAATAATCGAATCCATCCCATCATTATCTGCTGAGACAAATTACTATCCTTCCTGACTTTACTCGATAGAATACATAATGCTATCGAACAAACAAGCAATTGGCACCCTCTCCCTGGGCCAGCATCCCTCTCACACGCTGGACAAAAAGATTCGTGTTGCCTCACAACATGGCTTTACTGCCGTTGAAGTCGTTTACTCTGACCTCAAGAGGTACTCAGACGCCCTAGGTGTATCAATGCTAGAGGCTGCTGGAAAAATAAAGAACGTCTGTGACGACCTCAACGTCGAGATACTATCTTTGGCGGCGTTCGAGAACTTCGAAGGAAACCGCACTCCATTGGATGAACGAATGACCACCGCAAAGCACTGGATCGACATTGCGCGCGAGCTGAATGCGACATATCTGCAAGTACCATCCAACTACAGCCATGATGCCAGCACAGACAAAAACCTCATTGTATCGGATTTGCAGCAATTGGTGGATTTGGCTAGCGCTGAGGAACCTGTTGTCTCAGTCGCGTATGAGCCACTCTCCTGGGGTACATACTGTTCTACCTGGGACACTGCCCTGGAGCTTGTCGAGGCTGTTGATCGCAAGAACTTTGGTCTGTGCATGGACACCTTCCACGAAGTCACCAAGCTTTGGGCGAGCCCGTTCGAGACGTCCGGAAAGTACCCGACAGCTGATAAGGACTTGACTGCCTCCCTTGTACGCTTTCTGAAGCAGTGCCCTCTGGAGAAGATATTTTACGTCCAATTGTCGGACGGCGAACTCTTCAACCCACCTTTCTCAAAGGCACATCCGTGGTATCTAGAGGGTGAAGCACCGCAATTCACCTGGTCTAGACATGCTAGGCCATTTCCCTTCGAAACCGAGCTAGGCGGATATATGCCCGTACTTGAAATCGTCAAGGCATGGGTAGTCGACAAGAGGTACACGGGCTGGATCTCGATGGAGGTATTTGACAGACGGATGCGCAGCGAGGAGTTCAATCCCGAGGATGCTGGCAAAAGAGCGAGGAAGTCATGGGAAACACTACAAGACCGCCTCCGATCCCCCACCCCTTCTAAGATATAACCTTCGAATAAGCTCTTGCATAATTCAGCACCTTAAATAGTCCGTTCCTGAACTAGCAATAAAACTGCCGTGAAACACTCCAATACCCGAGGCCCAGACCCTTCTGTTAGTCCCCAACAGGCAATTACCCCCGAAATCTAGATGCACGTGACTCGCCCGATGGCTTGCCATCGGCGAACCACTCCAACGTCCCCAATTCCATCATCCCCTCACTAATGCACATGTGAACCGCCTGTTACCTTGTTCAAGCCTCTTTTTAGTCTTTACATCCTCTGATTAGATCCAAATGTCCTCCGACATCCCCAGGCCACCAACACTCCGCCGGTCATGCCAAGCCTGCGCGCGCGGCAAACGCCGCTGTGACCAGCGCTGGCCGCGCTGCACCCGATGCCAGACCCGGAAGATCGACTGCGAATACATCAACATCCCATTAACGGTGGGATCCGACACAGACCCAACAAGTACCGCAACAACAACAATCACCACCAGATCAACCCTCTCGCCCAAACTCCCTCACAAGAAACCAAGACAACACTACCAACTAACCCACTCCATCCCAATCCCCCTCCCCCTAGAAATCACAAAGGGCTACTCCCAACCCATCATCGCATACCTAGTCTCAGGCATGCGTGCATATCCATCCACCTTCGCCCTGAACATGAAAACCCACTTCATTCACCCAGACCTATGGCCCAGCCCATCTTCTCCCCCTTTACCTATCAAGGACATTCACACCTTGTGTAAACTGCACTCCACATCACCCACCACCACAAACAAAACCATCATCCCCCTCCTCAAACAGAAATCCTCCTCCCTCCTCCGCACCCTCAACCACACCTCCAGCTTCGAGGAAATGCTAGCCACGGCACAGGCTCTCCTGCTTGCCCAATGCATGCTCATTCTCTCGGACCCAGACACAGACACATCATCACAAGCCTACTCCGAGTCAATCAGCACTATGCTCTACAACCTCGGCCAGAAACTCTGGCAACAGGCCCCCATCCAATTACCGGGGAGTTTGAGCCCGCGCAGAGCGTGGCTATTCGCGGAGAGTGTGCGGAGGACGATCATTGTGGGGTTCATGCTAAGGAGCGTGTACTCGCTCAAGATGCGGAATTATTCCGTCCGCACGCCGTTTGTGGATTCGTTGCCGTTTGATATGAGGACTGGGTTGTGGGATCGCGATGTTGGGGTTGATGGGGATGAGGGTGGGGAGTCACTGGATGCGATGGTCTCGTTGCATCAGTATTCGGGCATGTTGGAGAGTGGTGTGGTCCATGGGATCTCGGACTTTGGGGGGTTGATTCTGGCGGCCTGTAGAGGGAGGGCATTGCAGGGCGTGCCGTATCCTTCTGTTACTGCGTATGCGGGGTACTAGTTACCTGAACCATTTCCATGGTGTTATCTACTTTTCTTTACTTGTGAGAAAAAAGGGTAAGTTGGAGTCTTAAGTCTATTTAATAGTCTATCTAACAACGAATTCTAAAAAGAGACAGATCAGATTACACCAAAAACTGCTTCAACACCGCATTCAACATCGCCGTCATATCCGCATACAAGCTCTGCCTCTTCGTCTCGAACGCCTGGTAGATATCATTCGCCGATCCCACGGCAATCTGATCCTCACCATTCTGCAACCGGCTCCAAACCTCACCGATAAACTCATTCAACGGCATACCAATCAAGTGTCCATCCTTCAAATCAGGCTGGTGCTTGGCATCGTGCAGCTCGGTCTGCACCGCAGGCGGGTAGATCTCGAGCACCTTGACGTTGCCGGGACCCTCAGCGACCTGCGTCCGCAGGGCAAGGATGAAGTGGTGCAGGGCGGCCTTGGAGGCGCCGTAGTTGGGGCAGCGCATCATGGGCACGAGGGCCATTTGGGAGGTGGTGTAGGCGAGGGCGGTCTGGGTGGGGAGGGATTGCAGGTGGGGAAGGAAGGCTTTGGTGAGGTAGACGGGGGCAGTGTAGTTGGTGATGAGCTCGGTGTCGAAGGTGGTGAGGTCGACGGCGTTGGGGTTGGAGAAGTCGAAGGGGCGCTGGATGCCGGAGTTGACGAAGATGCAGTCCAGGTCGGGGTGGGCCGTTGTGATCTCGGCAGCGAATTGGGGGATCTATATAGTGGTTGACTTGTGAGTAGAGTGCGGGAGTGGGTGTGGGTGTATATGAGGGGGACGTACTTGGTCCAGCTGCATCACGTCAAAGACCTTCGATGCGACCTTGTCACTGCCATATTGCTGGACGAACTCGTCTAGGTTCTCCTTTCTTCTGCCGGCGATGACGATCTGGGTGCCGTTCTCGACAAGCTTCACGGCGAGGGCCTTCCCGAT